ACTATTTTCAAAGTCGTATTTAGTTCTGAACATTGACGAATTTGGCAAACTCAGTAAATTCAATAGACAATTTCTCAGAGAAAAAAAAGGTTTTTAAAATTTCAAAATGGCTTTTGAAGAGTAGAAGTGGTAGTATATACACACGAGCCTGAGGGACTCGCACGAATATATTGTAATTAAAGTAAATTTGCTAGGAATTGCTTAATTTCCAGTTCAAAGAACTCGTTGTAGTCTCGAATTTATGTTTCATATAGAAACCTTCTACAAATCACGGTCGTAATATATAAAAAGTGTCTTCTTGGAACTAAAAATTTCACGTTTTCCTGGAATCTAGGGTTGTAATGAAACCTTTGTCTAGCCCTGATCAGCATAACTTTGGAGCACGAATTACTCCTCATGAACACATTTATTGAACTGCTTTGTAGAAGGTTAGGATCGGCAATGGATCCACTAAATGTAAAAGTAGTCAAGTAAGATGAAAATTGTGTTAAAAGAACTGAAATACTAGTGTTATCAAAAGAAATGGAATGTATGTATGATAAGATGGATTGCGATGACGTCAGGTGACTAGAAGTATTGCACGTTATGCGTGAAGAAATGCTTTTGCACACCTTCATATAGTGCCTATCAGAAAGGCAGTTAACGCATCCGATCATCTATCGTAAGAGAGAAAGGTCTTGAAAAACGTATTAAGTGTTGCTGTTTCAGACACAAAACGCAATATAATGTGGATAATTTGGTATGAGCTTACCTTGTTTGTGCATCTTGTTCACGAAACTGAAATACTGCTTATAAATGAGAGGTATTTACTGAATATGGAGGAATGTTTGGCCAGAACTGCTTTTTAGCGTTGACATACTCGTGTTTTCCTATCCCAATGAAAACCAAATAAAATATATCATGCTGCAAAAGTTTTTGAAAAACATCAAAAAGGCGCTTAAAATTTCAGACAGATTTTGTTTCTGCCGAATGAATTTCCCTGCAGTGTTCTAAGTTTTGTCAACTTATATGTTTAAACTGTTCAATGTTCAAGCATTAAATAAAAAATTGTTCTATAATTTGTTTTTGCGGCAATGCTATATAGTAATTTTTTGATATAAGTATTGAGTAAACTACGAGGCCTGGTTGTTTGTATGAATTAAATATTTGTTATACAACAAAGAAAAATGGTAGAAGTGACAGCTGTTTCAGAGATCGCCACATCTCTGCACCAGCATCTGCTATATAATCTATTGTTGTATTATTCAATTCATTATTAACCAACAGCTATTAAGTGCGCTAATTTAGCCGCTATTTTCTTAGCAGCTTGGTTAGTGAGTTGTGTTGGAATCCTTTATACTTTCAGGCGTTAATTGACTGAAAAATGTATAGGCAGGATTAAGTATCAGGCTCAACTTATATATTTATAATTTGTTTTTGCGACCATGCTATGTAGTAATTTTTTGATATAAGTATTAAGTAAACTACGAGGCCTGGTTGTTTATATGAATTGAATATTTGTTATACAACAAAAAATAATGGTAGAAGTGACAGCTGTTTCGGAGATCACCACATCTCCTCATCAGACTTCTTATGGCTGGGATCGAACAAACGGATCCTGACTTAACAGACGAGTGTTCTACCACTGCGCCAACGTCAGCCATATAATCTATTGTTGTACTATTCAATTCATTATTAACCAACAACTAACTAATAATTGCTCTTTTAAGTGAAATAAGAAACACCGTCTTCAATTTATTGAATGTTTTAAAATTTAACAACTATTTTAGTCGTATATGGTTTGTTACTTATTTTCTATTTGCATACATCATGAGGAGGATAGGGTTGTAGATGAGTATATTAAGGTGAGTATTTTTTAGGAGTAAGGTGTGGGGTAAAAAGGATAAGTAAGGAAAAGATAAGTACATGTAGTTTAATAACAAATATTTTAATCTTCCAGTAATGAACCCATGTTTTCAACATGCCGGCGGGCCTGCGGTGTCATGACGTCTTGGAAAGCTCCTGAATGCTTTATGGGAGAGAGTTGAGGTCTGGCTTTATAATAGAGTCTGTAAAGAGAATTTAGATCGAAATATAAATAAGAATTTATTGGAGTGAGAGATTGAGAGATTGACTCCAGAGAGAGAGTATTAGAGGTAGTTCTACAGCGTGTGACAGTTCCGTCTGAGATGTGAATATTCACGTTGTGAACATGTTTATCGTTAGGATTTAGTATATTCTTCATTGGATATAGGGTCGATAATTCGGCGGATTCTTAGTATTTATTTGCACCGGGTAATAGTAACCTGACCTTATTAAGTATTTGAGTTTAATTGCATGTGAGAGCTTATTCTTGTTATTCTTTACGATCTGGGATGAGTTTCCTAAACTTGGAGGGATTTTTGCGCTGAAAACACATCAATGTGTGGAGCTGTTTCAGCTTTGGGAAATTTTCAACGTCCATCTTCATTCTTGGCTTCTTCGTTTTCGTTGTAGGTGCTCCAACTCCGCGCTAATCCGATGGAGCTAGTTCATGCAAAGTTCTGTTCAACTGAATATTAGTCACGAAGGATAGACCTTCTTTGGAAACATTGAAAAGAGGCTTTTTAGTTAATAACTTTTTTGTTTTCGTATTTGCCGGCCGCGGTAGCTGAGTGGTTAGCATTGCGTACTGTCGCTTGGAAGGCTCGGGTTCATATCCTGGAATCGCACTGACATCAAAACAGTTATAGAAAATTAATTTAAATAAAAAATAAACTAAATTTTCTAATTACGGGTGCCCTTTGGTAGGGAATGTCAACTTCTCCTAGTGAGTGTAATGAAATAAAGCTCCTCAAAAAAAAAATCATCAGACGTTCGGTGGCGGCTTAGTATAAACTGTAGGTCTCTCCATTTGAAACATCAATGGGAAAACCGCAAATTGGAGGAGGAGATCGGCCGAAAATCGCTTCAGCGGTTACACGTAATACATAAATATATTTGGGGGACTATGCTTTTAAAAAGAGTTGTAATTGTACCATGAGTTGTGTTTCTGATCGCGAGCTGGTTGTTGTATCCAATGCTGCTGAGTTGATACTTTTGAGGATTTCATCTTTGCCGTATTAGGAAGAGTTGGAGTGAGTGAGATATCAGTTTCTTGTGCTATTGAGCCGCTTAGATAAGTTGTGTGTTTTTCGGGTTTCTTTTTCTTATTCGTACGTACTAAGCAGGGTTAAAGTTGAGCTCATTTATTGAGAATTCGTGAATCATTTGCGCTGCTTCTCCTGCAACATGCAGCATTTTTTGCCTCAGCGATAACTTGAAGTTTTGAACATATCCTTGAAATAAACCTCTTCGTGGAATATGGCACAAACAGGTTCTTTTTCAAAACACGGTGTCACTCAGCTTCTGATTTTCATTGGCTACATCTGCGAGGGCGAATTTTTCCTAGTCTTTCCTTATATACCTCCAGTGCCGCCTTTGGGTGAGCTGATGCCTCGAGGCTTCTGCACCTTTTGCAGAATTTGTCCCAAGTCATTAAATCGAATAAAAGTCTTCTGTGAACCATTGTAAAATATTTTTGGGAACTAAGGGGCTCCGATTGAGTTTGGAAAGGTTGGGCGGCTGCAGTAGAAGTATATTCTGTTTGGATATGTGCGTGCGTAAATTTTTTCTTAATTTTAGTTAAAATATCTTTTTATTATTATTTTTTAATATATTATTATTTTTTATTATATATATACTGTTTTATTTTTAGTACACCCGAAATTTAATGACGCACTGTAATCTGAGCGGGGCGGGGGAATTCTTTTGGGTACCAACTCTCTCAGCGCTTCTATGTACCGTTTATTAAGTACTGCAGATATGAGGTGGGAATAGAAAATATCCATTTTTTTCAAATTTCATAAGTTACGTATGTTCTATTTTCACTTTTTTCCTGTTATGTTAGTACACAGCTCGTAAGCTGACCTTATGTACGTTAATGTGTACATATATACATTTTTCATTGCGGTGCTTTTAGAAATCGTGTATAATACGACTAATTAAGTGTTTTTTCTTTTGGTTTGTATTTCCTTAAAGAAATTTATGAAATTATATACATATTAATAACAATTATATTATTGAAATATCAGGTGTACAACTTTGCTTCCGCCGTTTTCCGATAGGTGGCTATACCGGCTGAGGCTGGTTGACATACGTAGATGATAATGCCTTTAAAGTGAGTGTGGACAGTGCCTAACGAATTGTCACCGCCGTTCTTGTTTTCGTATTATTCACGCTCGAAAATGTCCGTTTATTTGCCTAATTCTCGCCATTTGCGGGAAGTTTTACTTTTCTGTTACAATTCGAAAAAAATGCAGCTGAAGCGCATCGAATGCTCTCAGAAATTTACGGTGATGCTGCTCTGAGTGAAAGAACGTGTCGGGAGTGGTTTCAACGTTTTAAAAATGGTGATTTCGATGTCGAAGACGAACATGGTGGTGGAAGAGAAAAAACCTTCAAAGATGAACAACTAGAAGCATTGCTTGATGAAGATTCGTGCCAAACCCAAGAATAGCTTGTTGAATCGTTGGGAGTGAATTTTCAAGCCATTTCAAAACGTCTCAAGGCCCTGGGCATGATTCAGAAGGAAGGAAACTGGGTGCCGTACGAGTTGAAACCGAGGGACATCGAGTAAAATTGGTCAAAAAGTATGTGGAAACGCTGAAATGGGAAGTCTTGCCCCACCCGCTGTATTCCCGAGATGTCGCCCCTTCTGACTTCCACCTATCCCGTTCGATGGCACACGGCCTGGCAGATCAACATTTTCAATCCTTCGAAGAATTGGAAAAATGGATTGCTTCATGGATAGCGTCAAAAGAGGACTCCTTTTTCGAGCCGGTTTCCGAAAATTGCCGAAAAGATGGTGGAAAGTTGTCGCTAGCGAAGGACAATACTTTGAATAATGTTTTTGTAAGCACTTTTTCGCAATAAAGCTTTTAATATTTGAAAAAACCGGCGGAAGCAAAGTTGTACACCTGATACTAACATAATATACATACATACAAATATATATACACCAGCCATTTCCATATAGATGCCGCTGACAATTTTTTCTTTTGACAGTTATATGCTGTCACTTCAAGCTTGCTTCAGAAAAAAGTACGCGTAATATTGTTTTAATTCGTTTGTTTGGAGTCAATTTCAATATGGAGCCCACCAAAGAACATTTGCTATATATTTTACATTATTATTATTTCCTCAAAAAATGCTGCCCAAGTTCCTAAAAAGAATCATTATTTTTATGGGGATAAGACCCATAAGGTATCGAAGTTGGCTTGTCAAACTTCGTTCGGGAGATTTTTCGCTCAAAAATATTTCATATTCAGGTCGGCCAAGAGAAGTTGATGATGACGATATCAAGGCTTTGATCGAATCGAATCGCAGTGTGACTGACCGTGAAGTTGGAGAGATGTTAAGTTTACCAAAATCAACAGTTCAAAATCATTGACGACTTCTTGGACTGCCAAAAAAAACGTAATATTTGGGTACCACATGAAATGAAAGAAATTCATTAAACAAACCGCTTCAACGCTGTGACTATGATCCGTTTTTGAAGCAAATTTACAATAACGTCAATCAAAAACGATCATGGTCCACAAGCCACTTCAAAAACTAATATTCATCAAAAGAAAATTATGCTGTCTGTGTGGTGGGATTGGAACGGTGTGATATATTTTGAGGTGCTTCCTAGAAACCAAATAATTAATTTGGAAGTCTACTGCGAACAACTGGAAAAATTTAAAACATTAATCAATGAAAAGCGGCCAGAATTGGTCAATCGTAAAGGTGCCATATTCTAACAGGACAGTGCTAGAATGCACACATCTTTGTTCACTCGCTAAACACTGAGAGAGCTTGGCTTGACCTTTCACCGTCAGACTACCGTTTGCTTGTTTTTTTTTTAGCAGAACGCAATAAATGGTAAAATTTTCGACAATGACAAGGTTTTACAGACTGGTTCAGTTTTTTTTGCAGATAAAGGCCAGAAGTTCTATGAGCGTGGAACAATGAATGATGATGGAAAGAGGGCAAAAGGTCATCTTACAAAATGGAGCAGCCAAAGAAAGCCGTTCAGCACTGCTGGTTGATGTGAGTTATTTGAAGGCATTTATATTTATTTGATTTTGGATATTTAATTTCATATATTTTCTCAGTGTGCAAATATTGTAATATTCCTTTTTTGGACTTTAGAACAAGAAAGGTGAATAGTTCCAGCAACTGAATATTAAAATATATATTATATATGCGTATTAAAATATATATAAATTAACTTCATTTGGATCTTATAAATTTTTATTTTTCATTTAATTTTAATTAATATTAGAAAATACATAAGTGAGGAATATCTACCATAGAAATTGAATACAAAGATTAGAGTTAATAAATGCGCTTACGCGAGGGTCTCTTCTTTAGCCTTTCAAAATAAAACACCTCGCGTTTCGATTTTATATGTATTAACAATGTTTGAATTAAATATGAAATATTACAAATTTATTAAGTCACTTTGTCCATAAATGTTATTTGTTTTAATTTTATTATTTAGTTAAGGGGCGTCTTTTGTAAGAAAGTTATTTTGGAGTAATCAGAGAATGCAATGAGTATATTTTCTCATGATTTGAGAAGTTCGATTTGCATATATCTTGTGCAATTTGACTTGGAGAGTTCAAAACCGTATTTCTCTGTATGTCTTGACATACTAAAATTTCAAATCGATATCGGAAATAGTTTTTGAGTTATAGCAGTTTAAAGAGCAGCCGCTCGGCAGCTAGAGAGTCTCATTAGCTACGAGACGTACCTGATCATTTTATCTTTCAACGCGTTTTTCTCGAAACAGCATTTTCACAATTTGCTGCAGTGATTACTCAAAAATAAATGATCCGATCACTATCGAATATTTTTTTACATGTTCTATATATAGTTCTCCGTACAATGACCTATCGATTTTTTATCTGATCAAAAAATTGAATTTTGGCGGGCCAAAGACCAAAATTTTGGGTAAATTTCGACTGTTTCTAAAAACACCGCCATATTGTCAAGTTTTAATTTTTTTTCGTAGGTTATTTTACAGACAATATTATCTGGTAGAGAATTTTTTTTTTAGATTTCATTCACGGAGAAGGCCGGAATCATTGCAGCAGTGAAGGAGCTTTTTTCGCGCCGTTGGAGATCGACTATAACTTAAAAAATATTTAATTTTTTTTTCAAGAATTTCACTTTACTTTCTTGAAAAATGTACGAATATATCCTTAAAATTTTGAAATAATTGATGAAGAATTTTTTTTAATAAAGATTTCCAAAAATCACCTTTTTTAGACCATTACACTAGGTGTGCCCCTTAAGTGATTACGATGTTACTACGCTTTTAAATTATATAATTTATTTAGATGTCAATAATTTATATGGTTATACTATATCACAATATATCCCTCCGAAAAATATTGAATGGGCTAAAAACGTAGAGGTGTTTGACATTATTAGTATACCAGAAGATTCTTTAGTTGGTTACATATTAGAAGTAGATTTAGATTATCCCACAACTATTCACATTATTCATAATGAGCTACCATTTTGTTTTGAAAATAAAAAAGTAGGTTCAACGAAACATTCAAAGTTGATAGGTGGTGATTTGGGACCCAAAATAAAATAGATCATTCATTAAAAAAATTTACAACAATGTATTTAACATGGGCTTATATTAAAGAAAATTTATAGAATTCTACAATTTAATCAACCGGATTGGTTAAAAAATATATTGATTTGAATAATTATCATAAAACATTAGCTGCATATAAGTTTGGAGAAATTTTCTTTAAATTATTTAATCATGCGGTATAGGGCAGAACTATGGGGAATGTATATAAGAGAGAAAGGTTTAACTAGTACATGATTGGGAAAATACTAATATTAGGAGAAGAGATGGTAAAAAATTTCCACAGTGTTACTTAATTTTCTAATAATTAATTAGCGATTCAAATGAAAAAAGTGTTTATTCTGTACGATAAGCCGATTTATATTGGTTTTACCGTTTAAGAACTTTCTAAATTTAAAATGTCTAGTTTCCATTATGATTATATCGAAGAGAGATATAAAAATGATATTGCTTTGAATTATATGGACACTGGATGGATGCATATATGATATTTGAACTGACGATAATTTTATTCCTGTTGACATTTCAACATTTTTGGACTTCTTCATATACAATAGAAAATATTTTTATTTTCCTCAGTTGAATAAAAAGGTTATAGGTATGATGAAGGATGAATGAAATGGAAAGTTAACAAAAGAATTTATTGGTTTGAGAGCGAAAATGTGTTTATTTAAAATTCCGAAATTAATAAAACTAAGAAAATTAAGGGAATAAAAATTTGTGTAACTTATACATTGAGCTTAAGTGATTTTAGAATATGTCTGTTGGGAAACAAATTGTATACTGCAACAATATATACATTTAGGTCTAAATTACAGTTTATACTCAAACTATTTATATATTAGACGAGAAAATCGTATTGATACATACGAGGTGTGTTCAAAAAACATCGCGAATTTTGTGTTTTTTCAAAAATTAATTATTTATTCATGAATATCTATTTTGTCTCCTTCAAAGTAATCCTCATGAGATATTATACACTTTTGCCAACGGTTTTTCCAATCTTCGAAGCACTTCCAAAAATCAGTTTTTTTTATCTTGTTCAGCTCCTCCTTCGATGCCATCTTTCTCTCGTCAGTCGTAGCGTAACGTCGTCCTTTCATGGGCCTCTTCAGTTTAGGAAACAAGAAAGAGTCACAGGGGGTCAGATCTGGGGAATACGGTGGCTGCGGCTTCATTAGCACATGTAACGATGCGTGAGCAGGGGCGTTATTGTGGTACAAAAACCAATTTTTGTTCTTCCACAAATCCGGTCGTTTCTGGCGGATTGCTTCGCGCAAATTGAGCATAACTTGTAGGTAATTTCCTTATTGACCGTTCTACCCTGTGGCAAGAACTGATGATGCACAATGCCCCTGTAATTAATTTTTTCGTCTGTTGTTGAAGTGCTCGGGCGTCCGGCACGCTCTTCGTCGTTCACATCTTCTCGGTCTTCCGAGAACATTTTGTACCACCGATAAACGTTGCTTCGGTCCAAGGTATATATATATATATGGAATCATTCGCTAAGGGGAGTAATATGGTGTCAATCATAATAATCAATAATTTGATAAGCTTACGAGATGTGTATAATCGAATTTCTATTTTTTGTGGCGTTATGTTGGTACTCATATCTGTCACTTATGCCGACAAGCTCGGCCATTTTGAATGTTCACTTAATTGTTGACAGCTGCTTTGCTTGCACGTGTTTTGGATGGTCTTCGATTTTTACCTATTCAAAAAAATGGATCAAAGAACCTCTATCAAATTTTGTGTGAAAAACGAAATTAAGTGCGCGGATGCATTCCGAATGTTGACTGTGGCATACGGAGAAGCTATATATATATTATGGCGGCTAGCCTCAACCAATTGCTCCTTTCCATTCTTAAGATCATTCAAAACTTTTGTTATAACTGATCTTCCAGATACTATACCACCAAGTTTACCTAATGCCGTTAAAATAGGAATTAGTGGTAAAATTTAACGAATTAGTTGGGCTTATGTGCAAAAGAGAGCCTTTGCCTATGCCTTTGCGAGTAAAGCATGTGTATTGTGGTGTACACCGCTTAAGGGTATGGTGCAACGCAAGACATATTACACAAATGTTATTATTTCTTATAAATTTATACTGTTGAGGTATCGGCAGTTGCTTGAATTGCTTGCAATGCTTAAGTGTGTGTTTATTTTTGAACAATTTGCACGATTGGTACCTGTTCTGTAGATAAAGAAAAGGCTTAGTTTTGTTATGTGTAGAAGAGGATTTCGCGAGATCGTGTTCAACGTATTCTTTAATTTCGAATTGGGTGTATAGGAATTCTTTCATTTGTTGTTGTTTCTTGCTTTGTGAGGCTTGATGCTTCGTTCTGCTTTTAGCTGCTACATGGAAAGAAGCAGGATTAGTGACCATTATATACTTTTAAATTTATTTAAGTATTTTTCATTAAAGTTTTTTGTTTATAAACAAGTTAAAACTTATCCTTGGGAAACTAGAATTGAAGGAAATTGGGGTGAGAACTACTTGAATATAAAGTGACTCAGAAGTCCTTACTGTTGGGTTGGGATGCAGTTTAAGCATTTATATTTCAAATGCAATGGTGAAAAGAGAACGAAGTAGAAAAATTGATCTTCAATACACTAAGCGGCTGCAGTGTATATACGGTTGAGTGTTCGCTGTTATGCTGAGGCTGTGCTTAACCAAGCATAAAAGAAAATAGAAAAGCAGAGCACAAGAGGGAATTCGTGCATTTATGATACTCTTTAAATAAAAGAAGAAAGAGGTTGTCCCCAAATTTGTATTGAAGTATGAACAAATAGTGAATGCACTATTTTTTGGGAATGCTAACCTTCTTTTTTCTGTTGAAGTACAAAAAATTGAAATGATTCTGAAGAGTGCCTATGTTTTAATATGTGAACTTCAGAACACTAATAAATAGATTCCCTTGGATATGTAAATACATATGTATGTACGTACATATGCTTAATTTGCAAATATTCAAATTCGAAATCGAGGTCAGCAACCTTCAAGATTGCGTTATTAAAATTTGTTGCTTTTGGAGAACAAGTATATTATATTTTGTAGATTTTTACTTTTGTTGAAAAAACAAAGTTATTTGCTTGCATATATGTGTACATATGCAAGAACCTCAATGTACCTAAATATCGCGGAAAGTTTTTTTGGCAGAATTGAATTTTTTTATTTTGTTTTGGTTTCAACAACTGTATAATTGTATAAAACAATCTTACGCCCCTTTGATTCAAACGGTGAGGTTCCTTGGGATGATATCTGAGAGTAGGGCTGAGAAGATAAATATTTTTCTCGTATCTGTTGCACTGATGCTACAGATAAGAGCTTTGATGTCGTCACTTGGTTGCCTCGTTATTGTTGTTTCGATGTTGTAATGTGATGATTGTATTCATGTTTTTATTGTTTTTCGCTTCCCATCTTGCTTATGTTTATTATGTTTTTTCTAGTTATTTATTGTAGTTCATTTACTTTTTGTATTTTTTTTACGATTCTTTACATAGTTTTTTGTTCTTGTTTGCACTGTAACAAATCTTCATGTTATTCGTTTTTAATTTGACAGTTTACATTTAGCATTACT